GCCCATTCAATACCTACGTTCAGAAGACCAGTAAGTGCGTTCTCCAGTACTTCGTCTACGACGAAATTGAACAGGAATGGCGAAATAGGGCACCCATGACGGACACCGCTCCTGGTTTCGAACGATTTACATACCCCACCGTAGACCCTAGCGCTACCAGAAGTATGCAGGTAAAACGACCGCAATAGGTTTACATACTTCCGCGGCATTCCTTTGAGGAGCAGCGACCCAGGAGAGCTTCACGGTCAACTGAATCGAAGGCTCCTTTTAGGTCAAGGAACACTGCGATTGTTGGCCGACGATGTGTGAGGCAATTCGAGGACTTTATGCAGAGTGAAGATTTGGTCGATGCACCCGCGAACTGGTCGAAATCCGGCTTGTTGTTCGTACATATTCCTCCCTCTTAAGAGTTTCACGCGGTGAAGTATCACAGAAGTCAACACTTTTGTGATTATCGGAACGAAACCAATCCCACGGTGGTTAGCGCAGTCGTTGCTAAGTAATGGTCCAATTAGGTCGCAAGCTTTGCTCAACAGTTTGGATGTCACTGTAGCTAATTTTGGCATTAGCTTCCCGTATTTAGTATAAAACGCTGCTACCGGAAATGGTTGGTCCGGCTCCCGACTTGATGCTAACAGAGGAGACTAATTTTTATGCCAGAGCAGCTATATCCGCAGGACGGACGAATCACGGATGAAACTTAGCCACACATTCCAAAGGTTCGGTTGGAGTTAGTCAACTGCAGACGCTTTTGGCGCTTCCGCAACATTTCGTTATCCGTGAGGGATCCAGCATATGCTACCTCTGACCGACAGGTTCTGTTGTATTACGTAGAGATAGCGGCAACGAAAAAAATCGATAAAATCAAACTGTCGGTGTTTGAACACTACCGTTTACGCCTCATTGCACGAGTCTGGTGGTAAAGTTGGACATGCAGTACGAGGTTGAACGAAGAGTACTCTATAAACGAGATCCCAACCTGGAAGACAAAAGAGATAGCTAATTTATCCGACCTCTCCGGACATTTCTACATGCCTCGATTCTACTTCATCAGTCAACTTTACATGATTTTCTTCAACCTGGAGAAGCAACTGCAAATACGGCGTTGAACCGTAGACGTTAACTAGACATACGCAATACGTGCCCTAACCAGTAAAGCCTTATCACTGGAGGGTGAATGTTGGTAATCTTGGATGTGGGTTTCACTATGACAAAGAGTACTGTTGACGAGTAACAAAAAAGACGAAACGGTTGTCCAATGCTCTTTGTCGGTCATCGTAAAGGTTTTCTTCGCATTCATTCGATTTTGCTATGATAATGAACTTTTCACCGATACTCTTTAAAGCACACGGCAACTCACCAGTGTTAATAATCCAATCGGTACGTCTAACCTCCGCGAAATTAGGTAAACATCGACGATCGAAGAGCTCTAGTCGATGAACACGGAATCAGATACTTGAAGGTTAAAACCTTAGATACAGACAATCAGGCACTAATGATGCGCACGATAAACAACTTTGAGGGTAAACATGCCTAGCAGGCACCCATTTGGAAACCCATTTTTCCCACCTGCCTAGTTCTTCTTCTTAACCCCAAATAACCCCATGTGCCTTCTCCTTACGCCGACAATGGAATATCACTCAGCATTTTACAAGCAAGGCCAGACAATCAGAAGTCATAGGATTTTTGAAGCCAAAATTCTCTTTTCACTTAGCGGCATTCAATGTCAGCACACTCGATCAGATTGGTCAACAAGCTGCCCTAGCTAGAACACTTGAAACTTTCAATTTAGATGTGTGCTTTGTCTCGGAAACACGCATACAGAACCCTACATCCATTATATTCCTTCGTGCTCCTGATCCAACCTCAACCTCACGCTTCACCCTTCGTGTGCAGGCGATTCGGCATCCGAAGCTCGCGGCGTTGGGATTGCGCTAAGTGCCAAAGCCAAACGCTCGTTTTTTGGCTGGATCCCAGTCAGTAGCCGACTGTGCACTGTATGTCTCAAAGGTTTAGTACGGATCAACAGCTGTAGAACGAAGTGTCGATGCTTGTTCATTGTATCGGTATACACTCCGACCGATTGCAGTTCGCCAGAAATCAAGGATAAATTCTACAAAGACTTTACGTGCTCGGTTAACCGACGTCGTAGTAGTCACCGAGTAATTCAATGCTGAACTGGGATCTCTGGACGAATCGGAAAGGTTTCTGGCGGACCACATGCAATCCCAGCCAACCGGACGGACAAGGGAGATCGCCCACTTCAATTCTGCGTGGAACATGGACTTTCCTGTCAAGCACGAACTTCTCGCACAAGAAACAACACCGTATTACATGGAAACCACCAAAAGGGGCTCGATTCAAGACTGCGGCTGTTACTGGTTAATATCTGTGGAAACAGACCACGCCTGGTTACGAGCTAAATTCTCCTTACACATGGCAAACAACCGCAAAAAAGCCACCGACAACGGATACCCACGATTGCTACAAATCGACCTTCGAGGCGGAGCTCTTCGATGGCCTCTCAGTTCAACCACCAGCCGAAGGACTCAACAATCAACATTGGAAGTCAATCAAAGAAGCTATGCAAATATCAATGAAAGCAACGTTGAAACCGGGTGTAAGCTCAAAACACAAACGATAGAAATCGTCGACCGCAGCTGCCCTTCTGAACCCCCGCAGAACCCTTCCTCCGGATGCCACATATAACAGCGCGCAAATCCTTTACACGCCAGCTCATCAGAGGTCTGAGGAATGATCACCAAAAAGGGTACATAGAAAAGAAAGTGGGAAGAGATGGAGAAAGCTGAGGCTATTGGTAATAATTACACTCTTTTCCTTTTAATTGAGAATACAGGCCATAAGAAAATAGGCGTTAATGAGGTAATTAACAAATCGGACAGCACACGGATTCGTCATAAGCAACGCCATTTTGATTGATTGGCTGAACATTTTGAGGCCCCCATTGAAATCTAACCTATCAACCTCCCCCCACCTCGACTGGGCAAATACTTCCAGTTAATGCTAGTCCTCTGTCTGAAATGGTTTCGCGGCAAATAAGTTATCTCAAAAGGCATAAGGCCTCTGGCCCAGGTGGGTTGTTCCCATTGGCGTTTACGGTTGGAGGCTCAGCGTTAGTCTCAGAATTGACAAAACTCCTGGGCTTAATATGGGAAAGGCAAGAGGTTCCAGCTAAATGGTGAGAATCGCTGATTATGCAGATTAATAAGAAAGGCGATAGATCTTCTTGTGAAAACCATAGAGGAATTAGTTTAATCAACATCGTCTCTAAACTTCTCGCTGGCATCATACTCCGCCGATTGTCTGCCGCACGTGAACAGTGCACGCGTGAGAACCAGGCTGGTTTTAGACCTGGTCGAGGTTATATTGATCACATCTTCACTCTTCGCCAAATTCTGGAGCACCGGCATTCTTTTCGTAGACCCACCATCTCTGTCTTCCTAGATCTGAAAGCGGCTTTCGACTCAGTCGACCGCTCTAAA